CCCTGATGAATGTGGAAGTTGTATAAGAATTTAAGTAAAAATCATAGTTAAGAAAAGGTAATGGTCAGATTCCTATTTGCCATGTTCATGTATGATTGAGAATGTCTGTGTTATTCGTCACAGGCTGGCAAATCAGTCATTGTTAACTAAGGTTAAAGACGACATCCCAATTTAGTTTGTCACCTCTCTTGGGATCGATTCAATCTAAAACATTGATATGTATACTTTAAATTTCGCTACACATGTATAAGAACACAACTGTTGACGCATAGCTTTTTGCTCTCTCTCATTTACATGCCGTGTAGATTGAGTAATGAACTCGCTTTGTTGAAGCTCATATAAATACATTTACCCACAAAATTGTACTATAAATCTTCGTTAAATTTCTAACTCGGGATTGAGCCGAGGCATTTAAATTTGGTAAACAACAAAATTTACGCTACGGGTAAGTTTTCACTCCGCGGTTTGTCAATTTCCACCTCATCCTACACTGACGAGAATGGAAAATTTCCGAAACATACCAAAACATTTTTAATCCATAATTTAGTAAACGAAAAAATGCGCTTTCCTTGAATGAAACGTTCGTTATTTGGATATACGCCTCAGAGCATTATGGAAGCTACGGCAAATTAGAGCTAATTTGTCGAATGAAACACAAAACTACCACTCACCTCAGCTGTAGACCCCACATCTGCACGAAAACAATGTCTTCTAAAAAAAATTGCGTTCGATATCCATCTTCCCCTCCTCAAAAGCGTAAACGCTCTCTGATCTAAACTTCGAACACGCCATGCGGTAACGGCCGCCATTTTTTTTTTTAAGTCTTGAAACTCTGCTTGGGGTCTCGAACCAAGATAAACCCCAGGCCTAAACTACTTGTGTTGTATTTTGACTCGCCCGACACAACTCGTAAAAATACTCAGCGATACACTACGCAACAAAACTAATGAAGATATATGTATTACTTGGAGCAGCAGGGGGAATCCTATGACACTAGTCAACCGCAGTATATCAGTGTTAATAAATAATCATAATATTTGTGCCTTTCGAGATTGCAGAGGACTAGAAGTGCAGTTTGGTGCAGTTTGGTGACAGCCGGAATTTCAAAGGATTTGCGTGGTGTCTGAAGCCTTCGAACTAAGTTGGAGTTGAACTGATTGTAAGTACATAAGTGCATATTCTTGATGTGGAATTCGTAGCGGATGAAACTTAAGAAGCTAGTTTACATTAGATCCTACAGTCGTAAAATAGCTTGTCAAATTCGAAAATCCAAAACTATAGAGCCACGAGTTTTTTTCCTTATCAGGCATAAGGGGGCCTTAATTCGTATCTGTTTTCAGATTTTCGGCTCAATAGCAGGCTTGGTTTTGAAACCAGCGCAGTTTGAAGTTCAGATTTATAGTGGTTGCGTGACATGAAGCTCCGATTGCGTTTGACGAAAAATATAAACCCGTGTTCAGGAGAACGTGACGTTAAGTTACATTTATAGTATTTTTAAAATGAGTGACAGGGATCAAATGTCAAGTACTTTTACTTCGTTGGAGTTTTGCCTTAAAAAGATCGAGTATTCGCCAAGGAGGTTTTGTCCTTAGTCAGAATAAAGTAAAACTTTGAGTTTAACCGCGGATTTATTGAGTCGTTCTCAACAACCCGTTTGGTGATTTTTTTCAATCTTTTAGGAAATTAAGTGTTCGAAAAAGTGTTTTTTACATATTCGTTGGTTTCGTTTAGATAATCAGTTGGTTAGATAGTCAAAGTAAGTTCCAGATGTTTTACACTATTTCTGGCCGCCATGTTGGTGGACAACTCATACTGGGCTCTGTAGATTTTCGTAAAACATTTCGACGAATACCTTAAATTTGGGAAAACTAAGAGACCTAAAACTTGGAGAAGTACTTCCTTAACCTATCTACTATTTCACGGCAATTTCTGAACCTTATCAAGCGAATTTCTTTCTCTCGATGCGTGACAGTGACAACGATCAATTAATGAATTGCACATGTGGTACGTTGACATGTAGCTTTTGGAATTCATCATTTCAAGCCCTTGTCATTAATTGATCGGTCTGTTCAGTTTCCAAGCGTATACTTTATCTGGTTATGTCATAAAAGCAGTAGAATTTTTATAAAGGGATGACTATGATAATTAGATAAAAATGACAAAAGGCCTGTTAAATGCCCAAATAATTGCAGATAAACTCAAGAGGTTTCTTTAATCTTCATCAGCGAGCACGCCATGTTACAGTACCATGATTCTTTGCGCACCGATAACTCTATGTAACAGTAACGAAATGTCTTAACACTGCATTCCCTTTCTTTGTGAAAAGAAACAAACTAACAAGTGAAACCCTTTGACAAAATTTAGGTCTATTTAACTCTCAATAAACAGGCTACACAGAGTATTGTCTTTCAAAACTGTTCACTTATTCAGAACATAAACAATCTTAAGAGTGCACTGTCTTTCAAAATTGTTCACCTATCCAACACAAAGTCCTTAAACTGAGGTGGCATTTGTACAGTTCGAGACGGTCTACTCTTTGGTTCAGTCGTGGTTGCCCTGTCAGTAACTGAGGGTGGGACCATGCGATCCTCTAGGGTTTCAGCTCCAGTAGAGTTGTCCGGTTCCTGTGGGGTTCTGTACGGCTTAACAAATGAACTGTGTCTCCGCTGCACTGTACCATCAGTCGATTTCAAGGTTAGTTCCTGCCCTTCTTTTGTCTGAACAGTGTAAGGATTGGGCTGAAAATTAGCAGCTAACTTTCCAGATTGCTTGGTGTTCTTGAGAAGACCCTTATCTCCAAGTGTAATTGGGTTGTCCACATCATGCCGTTGTTTGTCATTATACATTTTGCCTGTAGGCTTTTGATTCCAGTCACGATATCTCGTGCTCTCCTCCTGAGCACTTTTGTTTGGACGCAATTCTGGAAGCTTTATCTTCAATTCTCTTCCAAGCATAAGAAATGCTGGGGGTTGCCCTTGTGCTACTGGGGGGGAGTTTATTGGCCAACAAGAATTTATCCAGTTCATCTTTCCATTTCTTCCCTTCTACTTCAGCTACCTTGAGTGATTTTAGCAAGGTTCTGTTCTGGCGCTCTACTTCGCCATTAGCTGGAGGCCAAAGGGGTGAAGATTTCTGGTGCTAAATGCCATGTGCAGCCTAGAAGTTTTCAAATTCCTCTGACACAAACTACGGTGCATTGTCAGACTTAAGGCTGAATGAGTATCCATACCGTGTAAAGATTGACGTTATCGCTTCTATCATCTTCCGGGAAGTGGTTGAATGCAGGATAAATACTTCAAAGAAATGGCTGTAGTAGTCAACTACCACAAGCACGTTCTCTCTAGAGGGAAGAGGACCTAGGACGTCAATTGCTACTTCTTGCCATGGCCCAGAGGGTGGTTCTACCCGCTGCATAGGTTCAGGTGCACAAACTTATCCTGCTTCTTGACATTCATGACGAGGCATTTTACACTACGACCAATCACCACTTTGTATGTAGTGCCCAAAACTACACAGTTCAGGATTGTTCTCTGATTCCCTTTCTACTTCCTTTGCAGTCATAGCTACTGGTGTACTTTCTTGTGCATGTACTCTAACGAAGTCGGCTTCCTCACCGCTGCAATTTTTTTGATTCACAGAATTTAATCGTGAGAGAGCATCTGCAATGTTTGTCTTACCAGGGCGATAGATCACTTTGAAGTTGTAACCCTGTAGGCAAAGGACCCATCGTTCTATTCGTGCAGATGGCTTTGAAGACTTGTTATAAATGCACTGCAAAGGCTTATGGTCAGTCTCCTGCTCAAACTCTCGACCGAAAACACACAGCTTGAATCTTTCACTGGCCCATACTAAGGCAAGGCCTTCTTTTTCTGTCTTTTTCTCGTCAGCATTCTGAGCTGTTTGGCAACTTGGGAAAAATCTGGCAAGAATTTGGCACAATACTGTACAAGGCATAAGAAAGCTCTGACCTCTGCATTACTCTGTGGAGGCTTGGCATTTTGAACTGCAGACACCTTCTCTTCACAAGGAGCGATTCCTTTACTGCTAAAATCATGTCCAAAGAATGTTAATTTTAGAAGTCTGAACTGACACTTCTCATTTAGAGTCAATCCACGTTCTCTAAGACGGCGCAGAACAGTTAGCAGATTCCCATCATGCTCCTTGATTCCCCATCCATGGATGATCAGGTCGTCAGCAATACTTGCTACTCCTTTACAGCCAATCAACACATCTTTGACAATTTTCTGATATTTTTCAGGAGCTGAGGTAATTCCGAACATTCACCTCTTGTATTGAAAAAGACCTCGGCACGTAACGAAGATTCAGTTTCAAGTTACGCGATTCAGTTTCAAGTTCCACCTGGTGGAAACCCCACTTCATATCTAATTTACTGAACACTGTTGACCCATTTAAGTCATGTAGAAACTCTTCAATAGTGGGAATAGGGTGCCGGCCTTTCTCTTTCGATTGCTTCGTTGGCTCTCCTGGTATCCACACGGACCCGTATGTCTCCCTCAGGTTTTGGTACTACCACCAGAGGTGCGACCCAGTCTGTTGGACCACTAGGAACTTCCTCGATGATGTCTTCTTTAAGCAATCCATCTCGTTGCTTGTCAACTTTGTCTCTTAAACCAAAGGGTAACCTTCTGACAGGCTGTGGAACAGGCTTCACATTTTTATTCACATGCAACTTAAGCTGAAAATTTTTCAATTGTCCCACTCTAGAAAAAACATCAGCAAAGTTCTTAACAATGTCCACAGAAGTTCCTTCACTTGTGATTGAGTATGCTTGTGGTGAGCTCGGAGGTCCGGCTCTCAACACATTCAGCTTTTCAGATCAGCTGTATCCTTTCCCAGCAGAGTTTTACCACGACCTTCAACAACAGTAAACTCATCCACACACTTTTCTCCAGACTCTTCACAATGGATTTCATTTTCAAAAATTTCTAACAACCTCGATTGGTTTGGTTTGGCCCTTCGGGATTTGCGCTTCACCCCTTTGTGTTTAAGACTTTCCCACGTAGCACGATCCACAATGTTACATGTTGCTCCCTAGTCAATGAGGACATTCTTTAACTGCACACCTCCAACGAACAAATCAACAGCACCACTCGAGCCATTACTACTCTTCGTATCCAACACAAGAGCATAGTGATCTTCTTCTTCTTCTTTCTCTTCTGAGACTTTATTAGCTCCTTCTGAACGGTATCTTCCACTAGGTTTCTTGGTTGACTTTGTCTTGCAACCAGCCGCAAAATGACCACTTTTACCACATTTATTACAAGTCTTGTGTAATGCTGGACAGCTCTCTTCCTTCGCAAGATGACCAGTTCTACCACACCAGTAGCATTTCCTTTCTTTTCCAGGTTTCTTTCCTTTCATCCCCTTTTTCTTTGCTTGTCGATCATTCGGACACAGTTTGTTCACCTGCTCAGGTCTTTCCATAGACTGTATTTTGAGTGTTATAGTTCACTCATATGTTTTATACACAGTGACAATGAATAGTGCCATGAATTCATCTAAAAAACACTCAACTGCTGCTGAAGGAAATTACAATCACTGTCAGAATCAGATATTAGAAGCATGAAATGTAAGAGTATCAAATAGAGGTAAACTTTACACTTTGATTTAGCCCTCAGTCATGTACTACTAGACTTACTGTGGCCATTCATGGTAAAAGGAGGAGCCCCCCTTCATTGATTTTTTTTTTCTTTTTTAACCGTAAATTTTTTGCAATCAGAGGATAGATTGTTGAGTGATTTGCAAGTGAAATAAAAATTGTGGATTATGTATGTTAGACTATGCTTCTATAGACATTCGCAGTCCTACAAGAAGTCAGATATGTTTCAGGCAAAAAACTCTTTTTTCTCTTTGAAGTAGACTCGGGTGTTTTTACCGATTCCATTTTCTGCCTCAGTAACTTTGTAAAAACCTATACGAAAAACCTGAGAGGGGAGGATAGTTACCCCTTACCTCTTACCCCTCCCTGTGTAGTAGAGTTTAATAAGGGCAATGAGAGGAGTTTAGTAATTATGGTGCATGATTGAAATATGGTATAAAGAAGGAGGTTGTGAAAATGGTTATATCTCCTCAATTTAGACTTCAAACTTGTTGAGCAACCGGGTGAAGGGAAGAAGAAAATTCCCAAGACAACGGTGCACAATGGAACAGCGGCCGACATACTCAGAAGTGAAATTACATGAGAAGGAGCTACAACTGATAGAGATGACACGGCAGCTAGCAAATGCCCAGCAACAATTACAAGAGAAACATGAACAATTGACAAGTGTTCGAAGGCAATTGCAAATAAAAGAGAGTCAACTGACTGAAATGCAGGAAAGTCTTTCCACAGCTCAACATGCCCTAAATGAACGTCAACACCAGGAGTCACCTGACTGGGTGATTCCACGAAATCACATCCAACTGACTGATAAGCTCCTCGGCAAAGGAGGATGGGGAAAGGTTGTGGAAGGGAAGTATTGCGGTTGTGCTGTTGCAGTGAAAACAATCCATGAATTGATTCTCTCCCCTCATAACCGCAGACTGTTTGGGCGAGAAATGAAGATTGCCTCAAGATGCCGTCACCCCTGTTTGCTGCTGTTAATTGGGGCAACAAACGATGACGGAAGTCCTGTATTTATAACAGAACTCATGGAAACTAGTTTAAGAGCACTTATGGAGCAGCGATCACTTTCTTCGACAGAAATCTCCTTTATATCTTTGGATGTGGCTTTGGCATTAAACTACTTGCATCAGAAACAACCCTTGCCCATTATTCATCGTGACATCAGTAGCGCAAATGTGTTGCTATCCCGTCAAGGTAACCAATGGCGAGCTAAAGTATCAGACTACGGAACTGCTAATTTTAAGCAACACACCATGACAGTTGCACCAGGGAATGTGATCTATAGTGCCCCTGAGGCACTCTCAAAGAGTCAAACAGTCAAGGTATGTAGGAGATGACATTTCGAAAACCACTGCAGTTTTCTTGAGTGACTTATTTGATAGTGTTATTTTATCATACATGCATTTTGACTCATTCTTACAAATGGTCTGTTGGAGGACAGTTGCATAAATGACACTAGCATTAACAAAATTTTGCCTTTTAGTTATTTGAAACAATAAGCTGATTCCATGTACGGCAATAGATTACAGGAGATGTAAAAATGTGGTAAAAACATCAGTGACATTTT